AAAAAAAAAAAAAAAAAAAAAAAAAAAAAAAAAAAAAAAAAAAAAAAAAAAAAAAAAAAAAAAAAAAAAAAAAACAATTTTGATAAAATTGTTATTTTCTCTCTTTTCTATAGCACTCAGTCTTATAATAATTATTTTAAAACCAACTATTATTTATAATAGGGTTTTAAAATGCGTCTACCTAATAAAAAATTTTTTAATTTTCATTTTTTTTGATCAAAAATGCTAAATACGACTTAATAAAATTTTATAAACGCCTAAAAATTTTAGAGTATATGCAAATCGTTATTCTGTACAACTTTACTTACTACGCCAAGTTTAATTTTCTCATTAAAAAAAAAAGTTTTATATTTGGCTACGATCATCAGTAGGTAACGTGATTTTCAAAATTCCGGTGATCAATGTCAGGGGAGTGTACATATGACGTCACTTTGTTTAATAAAATAGTTTATCATTATTTAAATTATATAATAAGTCAATAACTGATAACGATAATATTTTTACGTTGTTTTTTTCTTGCAAAAAAAAAAAAAAGAAACGATGCAAAATTTTTATAAGCATGTATTTTAATATTATAAGCTTTATTTCGTTAATTACAAGCAAGAAACCATCAAATTAGGACTTAGGTAAACAAAAACCATAGACTATATCAAATCTACCTATGTCACTTCGTCAAATACTTTCGTCGCTTTTGAATCATAAGTTGAGCCAAATATGAAATAAGAAAAGTTTGGCCGTCTAAAAAAGATATTTAAATTAGGTTGGTATTTTAATTTTTTAAAAATTAATTAATAATTCAGAATTTATTTAATAACTATGTGGCAACGAAGACATAATAAGCATATAATATCTATTGAAAAGCTTTTCTTCATCAGTAACACTAAGATAATAACCAACTTCTTGCCGGCATTGAATATTTAAGAAGGATACGAAAAACCCGAATCTCTATCAATAGACAAGTTAGCGTCTTATCTATTTCACCAAATTTCATCACAGTCAACGAAAATTCAGAAAAAAATATGATCCATCTGAAATAATGGGCGTAAAAAAAAATTAACTGCAAAAAAGAGTACATAATTTATCGAACGTCGCCAAATATTATAATGTTGAAATTCAAGTTTATTTGTATTATTCTATATATTATATATGTGTTGTAAATTGCATTAAATATTGCTTTATACTATTTTTATAATTGAAAAATAAAGTCTTTGTAAAAAGAAAAGAATTTCGAAGACATTTTCCGGATCATCATCCGAACCCAACCCGGTACACATTTTCTGGGTGCAAAAAGTCCGAACAAAATGAGATCGAAAGGTCGGACAATCATGTGACTACGCCTCGTTGAAATTTTGCACGTGTCATTATCAAAATTATCCAAGTCTGAAGAACTTAGCGCGCACCACGTTATATATTAAATAATAATTATTTAAACCGATTATATGCAATCATTCATTTTTCAAATATATTTATATATTTTTTATCGATGATATCAAAGAAAAATTAGAAGATGCTGATTTTCTTTCGATCATATTATAAAGCATCAATCTTGCAATTTGATCCGTTTTTTTTAAATAAGAACTTCACGATTCGTCTATCTACAAGTTATTATTTAATTATTGTGAAACCTATACGTCATTATGGCTATCTTATCTACGCCTTTCACACGTCAACAACTTGTTAATCTTGCTCTTTTTACAAGTATTATAACTATTTTATTAAATATTATTGAAGGAATACTTTCAATGTTTTTTGGAAGAAAATCTAATTCTGTTAGTTTAATTATCTTTGGAATTGGTTCTTTTGTTGAAGTTACTTCCTCAATTTTGGTCTTATGGAGATTTTCAACTGAATTACATCAAGATACATCCGTGATTTCTATAACTAATAAGGATAAATTTATTGATAAAGAACGTAAAGCTACTTTAGGAATTGGTAGTCTTTTTATTATTTTGGCTTTAGGAACCTTTTTACATTCTGTAATCTCTTTAACTCAAAAAAGTCATCCTGATAATACTATGGCTGGTATTATTATTTCTAGTATATCAACTGTAATTATGTTGGCTATTTATTTTTGTAAAAGATATTTGGCTGTGAATTTGGATTCTTCCACAATGGCTTCTGAAGCTCAATGTTCTTTCGCTTGTATAAAAATTACCTTGGTTCTTTTTTGTAGTAGTTTAATTTATATATTATGGAAGAAAGGTTGGTGGGTGGATTCTGTTGCTGCTTTAATATTTAGTACTTTTTTTTCAAAAGAAGGGGTTGAAATGATCTATTGGGCTAATAGTGAAAATTTTGATGGTGGTTGTAATACTGAAGTTGTCGAGAAAGTACATGATGATGGTGGTGACGATGAATCAAGTGGGACTGAAGGTGGACAGATTCATGTAATTGGTAAGATTGAAGTTGAACGAGTTGTTGAGAAAATGCGTCAGGAAGAAACAAAGGGTGTTGAAACAAAGTGGTGGGGAAATAATGGTACGGATGTTGAATTGGAAAATGGTACTAGAAATGTAAAAAATGATTATGAGAACAATATGGCGAAGTCCCTTACCGTCGCGGTAGAGCCGCGATACCAACAGGGCACACTTCATTGATTTTCACTCATATATTATCATTCTTTTTTGGTGAATAACTAATTCGTTAACGCATTAACTTTAATGTTAGCATAAACAATAAAGTAATAATCCATTAATGTTGATAAGATTTTTAAGATAATGAAGTATTTCTAGTCAATTAA